TAGTAGTAGTAACATAGATGCAGCAATAGCATTAGCAGCGGTACAAGCAACAGTCTTGTAGCAATGGTAGCAGCAACACTGGTAGTTCGCTGGGCCTCGGCTGACTCCTTGGCATCTGCATCCGGGTCCTGGGATTCGGGGTTTAGGGTTTAGAGATTGTGGCTTTTCGGTTCAGGGGTTTCGGGTTTGGGATTCGGGGTTGGGCCTAGGCCATGCCTACGGTACAGCGATGAGCTAGCGGGCTGACTGTTGTCCGCATATGGCAAACACTACTGAGTACTAACATCCATAACGGCAACAACAATGGCAATCGTTTTGAAACACAATTCCAGTGTTAGACTGTTAGACCTAAATACTTGACGGAAGCACGACTCTTGGAGGCGCACAAAAGTGTCGCAAGAAAAGGCCCACTGTATTTTTTGAGGGACGTTCTCGGGCGTGCACGAGACGCACCGTAAAATGACGCGAGAACAACTTCGAAATCGCACAATCCGGAGAACGGCGGGGTTTCGAGAGCACAAGCGGTCCCAGCCGGCGGCCGTTTTGCGGCCGGCCGCAGCGATTTCCAGCACTCTGACGGCCAAAACGAGCGCGGAACTGTGCCCGCAGCACAATTTCTATCCAAAACACGATGATTTAATTGCACACTGACACGACGTTGCGGCGGAAGCGCGACTCATCAACGCGACATTACTGGGCACTCCTGTTGGATCCGCTTCGCCACCACAACGTGTGGGGAACGTATAGCCCTGATAGCAGCGAGAATAGCAATAAGGATGCTGACAAAACCAGTCATGACCTCGATAGAATCAGACTAGTAGCAACAGCAGAGGGAGTAGTTCGTGGCAGCATCAGCAGCAGCAGCAGCAGAAGTAGCAGCAGCAGTGGCAGTAGCTGCCAGCAATAGCAGCAGTAGAGTCAGAGCAAGACGAGCAACTGCAGCAGCAGTAATCGGTAGCAGCAGAAATAGTAAGCATGATTTTGCACCGATTTTGGTACTGGCCGTAGTGACGATGATATAGTGAGCTGTTGCCGAGGTTCATGCGTGCGGAATCCAAGCTCCAGGCTCTACGGAGCCGTTCCTCAGTGGTCTGACCCTCGACATTTCCTCGTTCCACGTTTTCATCTTCCTCCACATCATCTCCCATGTCCATTTCCGCGTCAGTTTCTCCTTCGATTCTCTGCGAAGAGGTCGGTGAATGCAGCCTCGTTGGGATCCTCTGCCGCAGCTTCTGCTGCTTCCATAGCCCAACGGATCTCCTCCCTCGGGACTGAGTGCAAGCACTGATGTCCTTGACCTGGGCCTAGACCACGCCTCCGTGATCGCAAGTTGGACGGCCACGGTGCAACCTGTCCCCCCCCCGCCTCTGCAAGAGGATTCTGGAAACCCCTAGATCCGAGAGATCTTGATCACGCTCGTTTGCATCTGGGGCTCTCCCGCGAAATGCCTCAACGCCCCAAAAAAACCCATCGAAATGGATGCGGAGATCCTTCAGAGCGCTGGCGGCCGTGGCCCCGGAGCCGGCCTGGGTGCCACTGGCTTCGGGTTTGTTTATATATATATATAACAACATATAACATATATTATATAGTGATATATATATATATATAATGTAGTACAATATATTATAATATAATATTATATATATATATATGGCTTGGGTTCTATGCAAGACGTCTGTGGAGCATCAAAGCGAGGAGCCACGCCAAGATGCGGGGTTTGGGGCTTGTAAAGTCTAAGGATGTCGCCGTTCAGGTTTTAAGACTATGGGATGTTCCACCTCTTCCAGAGGCTCGACAGCTTCAGAGGTTGTGGCGGTTGCTGGATGTTGTGGCTTCAGCGTCTACTGTACGGTTCGGCTTTGAGGTCGCCTGCTGCGGACCTCCAAACGCCCCCGCCCCCAACAGCCAGAGGTCCTCACTGCACTGCCAGCCATGAACCCTGAAGCCTGAAGCTCGCACATCCCTAAACCATCACCCCCGGGCCTGAAAGCCTAAGATCCCTAAGTCCTACTAAACTGCCCTAGGCCCTAAAACTCCCAAGGCCCCAAAGGAATGAAAGACCCAGGCCGGCGAAGACTTCGGCTGCCAGGGCCTTGGACATGACATTCGCAAATCCGCGCTTCCAGCGTTCTATTCGGGGCATGGGGGGTTATAGGCGCTTCAGGACTTAAGGCTTCAGGGGGACTCTAGGAGTTGAAGATGTAAGGCTTTAGGGCTTAGGCTTCTTCAAGGCTTCGGTCTTCCCTTTTTCGATTCCGACGGGTGCTTCAGAGGCATGTAGAGAACCGAGAAGGTGGGTTTAGAGTTTAGGGTCCCAGGACACTCGGGAAGTACGTTGAGAAACCATACTTGAGTCTGCGTTTGGCATGACCCCTCGTTTTAGGGCATCTTCGGCTGAAGCGGTCCATCCTGTGCAGGATCGGAAACCAAGGATTTAAAGCGCGCCCGGGTTTTTCAGGGCCGGTTTGGGGCCAAAGTTTGGGGTCTATGAGGCTTGTATAAGGAAGGGCTTTACAGGATTTATAGGTGTTTTCTTCTGTGAGGTGGGTTGGGCACGGGTTTCTGTTCCGGTTTGGGTTTGGTACTTAGCCGTTTAGATTAAGGTTCCAGGGCCGAGGGTTTCGCTCACTGCAAGGGGATCTTTACTAATCACGAACCTTCCATCATTCAGACGACTTTGGCACTCCCAAACATTCGGTGAGGCTTTCGCGGCCAGAGGAGATTCGGAAGAGCTCTGCCAGATGCATCGTAAGACACAAGCATGTGGCTTTTAAGGGCTTATGTCTCCTGGCTGATCTGCTTCCTTAGTGACTTGAGGCCTCGCTCTGACTGCCCAAGCAAACCCAGGCTCTTGGGCTGCCCGAGTATCGGTCTTTCTAGGGCTCTTTATGCCTTTTGGAACCCAATGTGTCTCTCCGGGGCTTAGGAAGCTTCCTGAGAGCTCTGTGGCTCTCCAGCCACGAGGTTTGATAGGGTCGGAGAAGCTCGAAGAGGTGTCAGTGCTGGTGCACTTAAGGTATGCGGCCCAGCAGCGGGCGAGCGGCGCCAGGCGTGGGCACAGCTTCCAACGAGCCGGGAACAAACTGCGCAGCAGAGAGTCACGCGCCCAAGGATAAGATAGTAAGTGGAATATAACAAAGTAGAACCTAGTTTAGCACAGGACGATCATGCTGCAGTAGCAGAGTCTGGCTTGGCCTGTCTGTCTTTTACCGGCGACCATTGTGAACTTCAACGGCCCCTTCAAGACTTTCAGAGTGCAGAGTTCACGCTGTTTTGGGAGTTGGGCCTCACGGCAAACAGTCGGGGGCACGTTTCGAAACGGAAAGCCCCAAACCCCAACTGCCCAACCAAGAGCATCCTTGGGTACACTTGAACCGGCGAGCCCTTGCCGCAAACCGTTCAAGCTTGAAAGCTTAACGGCTTAACCCCTGAAAACCTCTGGAAGCTCAAAGACCCTTGAAGCCCTACCCCACCTCTCAAGTTCCGGACTGAACCCCATGAGTCCCAAATCCCATGGGAGCGTGCCGACAATTCGAAGTTCCCGTTAAACTTCAGAACCTTCAGACCCTACAAAATGGAAGGATCCTTCCCAAGGAAACTCCTTGAACCCTCCCCCCTAAGAACACGCACACACACACGCAAGAACCCCAGCCTCAACCGCCTTCCCGGCACGCAGCAGTCTGCCAGAGACCACGATGGTCCGGGCCCCATCAGCCTCGGGCTTGGGCCCCAATTTTTTGTGGGTTCTGGGTTTATTTTTTTATTATAATAATTACTTTATTATTATTATTATTATTATTATTATTATTATTATTATTTTTTGGGTTCTCTAGTTTCAGCGTCTGGGGGTCCAGGCTCTCTGGGCTTGCATGGGGTCCTGGTGTCACTATGATTAGTGCTTGGGGTTTCGGCGTGGCGGGTTTTGGGGCTGGGGGTTGAGGTTGAAGGCAAGGCAAGTTCGAGTCCCACCCACGTCTCATCGGGCTTCTACTTTTCCACGAGCCGAGGCACAGCCTAAACCACAGACTCGAGACCAACAAATTCAAAACCCTCCAGAAATCGGGAACAAGGGAGGGGGAAGAACCTGATTCGCATCGGGAATCCCTAAGTTGATGGAAGCCTGAGTCTCCCTTCGCATCTTCAGGTGCCGGCTTCCCACTCCAGCGTCGCACCTCAGTCTCTGTGCCGCTCCGGTGCTCGCTCCTTCGGGGTTCCTTGACAATTCGGGTACACAAAGGCGCAGGATTTAGAGGTTGAGGGCCTTGGGGATTCGGGCTTGGGCACCCTTGAGCTGCAGGGCCTGAAACTCGCATGTCCGCCGCAAGCCTAGAACGCAACCGAAAAGCCCATCCAAAAAACACCCCTCCAAACACCAAAACAAAAAGAACCTCCCTATGCCGGAGGCCTAGAGCTACCCTACAAACCCCCTCACGCGCACTCCCGTCTCTGGGGACAGGACCCACGGCGCAGGCGGAGAGCAGCTGGGACACCTTGAGGCTTTCAGAGCTTTCAAGCCGGGGTTTGGGACTCCGATTCGGCTTGGCGGGCGCTGAAGTCTGTGCAGCTCGATTATCCATACAACATCACGGCCTGTGATGTTATAAATGGAGCTTAGAAGTTCTGTCTTTATCCGGGTTTAGGGCTGGCGTTTGGGTTTGGATGGAGTTCAAAGCTGGGTTTACTGGACCTCAGAGATCCTCGGAGCAGATCTGCGACCTAAACCCTCGTGCCCTATCCTCTGGGAAGTGAAGTGGCCTAACTGTTTGATGCGACCTCTGCAAGCTCATCATGCCATTGTAATTAGCATAGCTTTAAGCATAGTCATAGTCAGAACCATGATCATCATCATTGTCGTCACTGCACCTTTTCGCCGCACTTCATGCGGAAGTCCTGCCATGCGACGAGATCTGCGCTGTCTCGGCCCCTTCACCCGAAGGCCAAATGCTGAAAGCACCAACCAGGAGCCACGACCCGAGCAGAAATGCCGAAAGTCAGAAAGACTAACGACACCCCACAAAAAGCTTCTGCCCCAAGATGATAAAAACCCTGATTTGAAAACCCAAACCCCAAAACCAAAAGCATCAAGCACCGGGCAGGCACTCGCAACGCGCTTGAAACGCTCGCACTGCGACCTTGGAGGCCGCGAAGTTCGCCGACGGTGGAGCTGTTCAGGGTTCATGGTCTGAGGCTAGGGTGAGGGTGATGAGGATGATCACCAAAGGTTACGATGATGATGATGATGATGGTTTCCCATTTATTTGCCTATGTCAGCAGGAACATCACCCTGCAATTTTGCTGGTTTGGAAAAATGCCTCTCAACAGATCAGACGGGGACAGAACTGATCTATAGTCTTGGAGGCATCGAAACGTCGGTATCAGTTTGGAATCACGAACTTTACCACAGCCCTGTCGCAACTCCAAATCCACAGCCCAAAAGCCAAGAACACTCAGCCTGCGACTTCCGCTGTCGGGGCTGAGCATCGAGAATTCCTGGTAGTGCCCGCAAGGAGCAGAGCTTAGAGAGTTTGTATCTGCTGGTATAAGGCCACTCTGCAGGTTGCAAGGTTGTTGAACTGCTGATCGGGGCTTCGCGTGAGTATAGGCAAATTTCGGATTAGAAGCTGTCTCCTTCGTGAACGGATCTGACTTGGGGCTTCTCAAGGTGCTTAGGGCTTCTCCATGTATCCAGCATCTCTTGTAAGAAATTCTCTAGACAAAGAGATGATGCAATGCAGACGGATGACATGTGGCAGCTGAAGGTGCCAGTAGAGAGGCCCCTCATACAAATCTACCTGGCCCCTGGCCGCAGCCCAGAACCCTGATCTCCATACTGCTGCTGCGGGCCGCGGCCGCAGCCGCAGTCGCAGGAGCTGCAGCAGCAGCCGAAATAGCAGCAGCAGGAGGGGGAAGGAGGAGCAGCAGAAGCAGCAGCAGGAGGAGCAGGAGCAGGAGCAGCAGCAGGAGCATCACTTCAAAGGTACGATATCCAATTTACGTCTCCAATCCTCGCTGTCGTCCCAGCTCAGCTTGGGTGCTGCCTCATCTCCGGACTCCTCTCGACTTGCAGGCGGCAGCATTGGGTCAGAGCGCGGTGTTTAGTCCGAGACATCTTCGGGCCGTACAACATCTTCAAGTTATCAACGGGGCCTTTTTGCACGGGCGTCGAAGGAAGCCTGGTTTTTCTGAAGAGCCTTGGGCAGCATGCTAGAGGATAGCAACTCAGCGATAAAAACAACAGTGGAGCACTTATCAGCCTGCAGGCCCTAGCCGTACAGTTCTACCATACGCCAAAACCCTATTCCACCAACTGAGGCCCCTTTATTGGGAGTCTTGGGTGCTTCGTGGAGGGATTGGGTCATTGGATTTTGGGGTTTGGGCAGCCTGGAAAGCCATATCTAGGGGACTCCTAAACCTTACAATAGCCCGAATCATGAAACCCTAGACCAAAAAAGGTGACTCTAGGAAAAGCTGCTGTTGGGATCCTTGGGCCCTAAGCCTAAGCTTAAACCCTTGAGATCAACACAAATTAAGTGCTTAGGGACCGCCGCTGAAGACTTAGGATTCGAGTGGGTTTGCGGTAGGGTTTGGGGCTTTGGGGCTGTGGGGCTTTTGGATTTTTCGGGTTCGTGGAAGCTCTGGGCTCCGGAATTGGAGATCCCAGAGCAAAGGGCTTCTCGAAGCAGCCGAAACCTGGCTGCTGCAGACGCCACACCGAAAGCACGAACGCTTCCCGATTAGCAAACTTGACTCTCCACAAGATGCTCGGCGGGGGGATATCAGCACGTGCAACCCCGTGTTGCAATCGACTGATTGCCGCCCCGAGTGTACTCAGGATGCATTGCTTTGGCATCCCACGGTGCTGCGTGGAGGATCTCTTCCACATCATTGTCGGAACACTCCCGGCACACATTACTGACCAACCAGCAGCTTTGCGCACGCCCACGCCCAAAAATCATTAAGCTGCATAGTTTAGCTTTACGGTCTTTTGGGGGTTTAAGTTGTCGGGATTCAGGGTGTGAAGTTGGGAAAGGGTTTCGGAGATCTCTTAAGTAAACCGTTAACCTCCGCAAAAGCCCACAAACCTAAAGAAGTAGATGCCACGCCCGGTTTCGCAACCTCAGATCCGACCTGAAAAGCTGACGATCCGAAACCCAAAGCTCTCGACCCAAACCCGACGTGAGGAAACACCCCAAGAAACCCTGAAGCTGAAGGAGCCTGAAAAGGAATCCCCTTTTTCCCATAACAGAATCCGGAACCTGAAACTCCACTAAGGCGCCCCAAGACCACCTGCACGTGAGGATACACACCCCTGCGTGAGGGACTCCCCCGGATTAGCCTCAACCTTAAGATTCCTACCTTTGCGTGGTCTTCTTTGGGCCCTTATCGAATTCCGGTTGCTGACCTCAGCCTCAGAAGAAATCAATGTCTCATAGGAACTATTCAAACTGCTCATAGGTTACCTGCAGCTACCTGGAGGCATCCTTGATCAGCGCCATGCAGAGCTCTGCCCGCGGGAAGCTGGTGACCTCTCGCACGTCGATCCAAGGAGGGTTTAAGGTTCAGGGCTTATAGACAGTAAGCAGAGCAGGGGGTTTGGGACAGAGGCGAGGTAGTTGTTTACTCTGACCCCTATGGTCCTCTGGTTCCTCTCTATTTCAGCTTAATTTAAAGGCCCTGGAAATTGGCTCCAGGATCCAGGGTTCAGGTGTTTGGGCTCAAAGTGCTCTGGAGTTCAAAAGGCTCTGTTTGCGCTCTTGCTGACGGAACGGCTCTGGGGTCTAATAAGGGCTTGTTAGCTTAGTGGTGTTATTAAGGATCCGCTGGGTTCCGGTTAAGGAGTTAAGGAAACTGTTTGAAGTTACGAACATGCTCTCCATTTCCTCTCCGTCAGCAAGAGCCTCCTGTTCTCCCAAAGTAAGACTTTTCGAGCCTCAGCAGAACAAGCCATGACACCCTCGGAAAATCTGAAAACCAACTTGGCTCCACAGCCCAAACCCCGAACCCCAAACCCGAAACCCTTAACCCAAACGGCTTTCAAACTTCCTCACCTCGAGCATGGCGGTGCCGATGGAGCCCGGCCTTGGGTTTTCGCCGCACTGCTTAGCTACCGCGTAAGAGTGATACATAACCTACAAGTAAGGTCTGAAGGTGTTTCATCGCGTTTTGGACGGACTTCTTGGGGCTGTCATACGCGGTTATACACGGCACATTGTTCATGCTGGAGGGCTTCGTCCGAAACTACGGCCAGAATCCTCGTCTCTTAGCCCCCAAGCCGCGAAAGCGAGACATAGCGAAAGATGCAGGCCAGGATGCACGTTCGTCACACGCAGGGACCGCAGCGGTGTGCGTGAAGGTAACTGAGGCCGTGATTGCTCCGGGTATTGCTCAGGGCTTCATGCACAGGGATTGGGAGTGTCAGATCAAAGCAGGAGACCCCAATGTGAGTCCTAAAGAATAAGACCCTTCTTCGAAGTACCCCAAATAACCATTAAGGAGTGCATGATTTCTCGCTCGTCGTGGGGATTATGGCTTCGCGCTCCACTCCAGGCTGCAGGGGCTGCTCTAGAGAGCCGAATTCGGGCTTCTTTGGGGGGACTTCCTGTACTCGTAGACTCTCAATCAGAACCCGTAAACTCCATATGCAGAAGAGTCCCGACAGAGTTAGTTGCAAATGTAGCTTGGCTTAGCGTGCTTGTTCGCCTTGCCTTCTAAGGAATTAAACTTGCAACTAAGTTGAGGAACGCCGCAAACTTGCAAGGTGCAGACGAAAGGCGGTATGAGATATACGTAAATTGTACTACCAGTTGTGGAGGCTTCTTCTCCGTTCCACTGTTCCGATATGAGTAGCAAGCATGCAAAAGAGCCCCAACCCTATTTCTGCTTTGCGAATTTACAGGCCTGGGGTAAAGGGACCTGCTATGGCAAACAGGCGCAACAGACCCAAAGCTCCAAACTCGAGTCTAAATGCTAAGCCCTGAAAACCGCATGAGGCTCAAGAGAACCCTGCGAAACCTGTGACCCCACCGGCCTCTACCACCTGCATCTCAAGACGCATCTCCTGCCCACACTAGCAGCTTGGACACTGTCGACTCTCACTCTGGAAGTATCCGCAACAATGAAGATCCCTACCGTACGTTCACTCCAAGGAACTACATCACTAGTCACTCAAACTCCAAAGTTTTATGGGCTCAAGGGAGCTTGGAGCGAAGGACGAACAAGTGGCCCGGGGTGTTAGGGGTTGAGGGTTTTAGTTGTTAGGGTTCAGGCGGGATTTGGGTCGGGTCTGGGTTTGGGGGTTTTGCTACCATGAGATCAGCTGTTGCGCTCCGCTTGTTCTTCAGCGTTCTTGCTCGCTGACTTCCGGAGCCTAAAAGCCCGAAAGGGCAAGAGGCACTTTGTTAGCGGTAGCAAACGAACAGCTAGGACCCTGCACCAGAGTTGCAAGATCAATAACAGTTATGCTACTCACCATGATGAGTGTGTTGTGCGTACCCCTTCGAAGTTTATGGCTTTGAACCTCTTGAAGCTGGAGAGGAGAGCGCTTCGCCTTGGATACCCTGAGACAGAACACGCAGCTGCCGCTGCAAACTCTTGCCTCGTCTCACGAGTGCATCGCAATGCACGAGCTAAAAGGTGATCCAGCGCACTCAAGCTTATACAATACCATCGAACTGCACAGTGCCTTCTTGATGAACGAATCGAAACCCAGCCGGAAACCGGAAAAGCACTGTGGTTTTGGGTTTTGGGTGTGAGAGGTTCTGGAGACGCGCCTTCGCTTTGGGTTTTATGACCTAGGATTCAGGAAAGCATGCGGACTTGCTGCGGTGCGAGATAAACAACTTGTGTATGTGTATGTTATGTTATGGTATGGTATGTACGAATGTATGTATGCATTTGTGTATGCATGACTGTGTGTATGTGTGTCTGTGTGTATCTATATGTATATATATATATATACATATATATATATATACATATACATATACATATATATATATATATATACATACATATGTACAGAAATATATATATATATATACACACATACATATATATGGTCAGAAAAAATATGCACATGTATATGGCCACAAATATATGCCCACGCACACACATATTATATTATAATATATATATATATACACATATATACATATGTGTATATAGATACACATATATATATATATATTTATTTATTTTATATATGTACATATGTATACATATATGTATATATATACATACGTACATACATACATACATACATACATACATACATGCATACATACATACACACATGCCAGTGTATGTATGCATGTAGGTATTCGGTATGTAGGTAGGTAAGTACGTAGGTATGTAGGCATGTATGTGTGTATGTAATGTAATGTAATGTGATGTAATGTAATGTAATGTAATGTAATGTAATGTAATGTAATGTAATGTAATGTACTGTACTGTACTGTACTGTAATGTAATGGAATGGAATGGAATGGAATGGAATGGAATGGAATGGAATGGAATGGAATGTACGTATGTACAAGTACGTATTCGTGCATGCATGCATGTATGTGTGTGTGTGTACGTCAGTGTGTGTGTGTGTCCGTGATGTAAGAGTGCGAGAGTGTGTCTCCGTGTGTGTGTGTGTGTATGTGTGTGTGTGTGTTTGTGTTTGTGTTTGTGTTTGTGTTTGTGTTTGTGTTTGTGCTTGTGCTTGTGCTTGTGCTTGTGCTTGTGCTTGTGCTTGTGTTTGTGTTTGTGTTTGTGTTTGTGTTTGTGTTTGTGTTTGTGTTTGTGTTTGTGTTTGTGTTTGTGTTTGTG